TTTTTTTTTAAAAAAAGTTTATTTTATGTATAAGGATATTTTGGATACATGTATGTCTGTGCATCACATGTGTGCCTAGTACCTACCTAGGCCAGAGTGGGTTTTGGATCCCCTGGGACCTTGATACTAGACAGCTGTGAGCTGACATATGTTCTGGGAAGTGTCCTGGGTCCTCTGGCAGAGCAGCCAGTCTCTTTAACTGCTGAGTTATCACTCCATCCTCTCGCTGCTACAGTTTTGAAATGCCTGTACTGTTAGGCAGCTGTGATTACACCTTTTAAAAAAGATGCGTGAAACCTGGTGTGGTGGCACATGCCTTTAATCCAGTGAATCTTTGAGTTTAAGGCCAGCGTGATCTATAGAGTTGAGTTCCAGCATAGCCAGAGCTTTATGGAGAAACCGTGTCTCAGAAAACGAAGAAACAAAAGCAAAGTATGTCCATGTCTATGGAGGCCAGTTGTTGTCAGTCTCAGGTTTCATTTCTCGGATATGATGTCATTCATCTTGTTTTTAGACAGGATCTTTTTACCAACCCCGAGCTTGCTGAGTAGGTCAGTCAGGCCGACTGCCTGGGTTTGGGGGATTAAACTGAGGTTCCATGCCATGCTTGGGTGGCAACAACTACTTTTCCAATTGAGCTATTGCTCCTGTTCTTTTTAATTTCCATTACCAAATCACAGCTGGATGGCCTTATGAGGTATTATTGTAATATTTTGATACAGTGTATAATTCTCCTTGTTAGTTTAACAGTGACTTTGTGCATATACTCTAAATCCTGTTACAATAAAAATGTGTCTTCTCAAGAACTGCTAAATTTAGCCCTCCCCTCCCCCACCCAGTATTTCAAGACAGGATCTCTGTGTAGCCCTGACTGTCCTGGAATTCTCTTTGTAAACCAGACTGGTCTTGAACTCTCAGATTCACCTGCATCTATCTGCCTCCTAAATGCTGGGATTAAAGGTGTATGCTGCCACTGCTTGGCTCAACCTCCCCCCCCACCCCCCATTATCAATCTCATAGCCTGGACCTTGCAATGTAATCTAGACTGGCTCTGAAATTGTGGTTCTTTTTACCTCCAGCCTTTTGAGTGCTAGGGTCATGGATACGTATTATATCATTCCTGGCTTCTGTTCTTAAAGTTCCTTATGGGCATGAACAGTAGCTGGATATTGTTCTTTGTATAACCAATTTCTAGTTGGGTGTGAGATTTTATTCACCTGTATACTGTTCATCACAAAATAGTATTTGTGTAATTTTCTGTCGCATGGGCATCCATGATTTTGAGCTGTCAAAAGCCTGTTTTTACATGGGAAGTGAACAGAATGTCAGTTAAAGTTGCTGGAGTTGGTTTAAAGAATTTCTGATTTACCAAGCTAACGTGCTGCCTTCCTACAACAGCATGTTATGTTATTGGGGCTTAATTGCTAATGTGGAGAGTTATGTAACCTAAACTTTGCTCACGTTTGGTTTTGTAAGATATGGAAGACTGTATTTTGCCTCTTGACCTCAGTGCCAGTTAAGCGGCCTCTTGTCTGGCAGGTTTTTTGAGTACAATGAAAAGGCTAATGAATGCAACACCTTTGTGAACTTACCATTCTTTAATAAAATTAGATAAATATGTTATTAGTTCTGAAGATAGCTATAAAGTACAGATTCATATAAAGCTCCGTCTATTTATTTTTGTTTTTGTCCCTTTATCCTAAGACTTGCTATATATGTGATGAACAAGGAAGAGAAAGCAAAGCAGCTACTGGTGCTTGCATGACATGTAATAAACATGGATGTCGACAGGCTTTCCATGTAACCTGGTAAGTATGTTTCCATTATTGTACATAAATAGAATTGGCAATTATATTATGTAACATCATGAAATCAAATATCTGCCTATGCATGTATTATTACATTGCATTCTACATTTTTTGTTCAGCACTGAAGATCAAACTCTGTAATTGTGTAAGACCCTGAAGCATAAGGGTGGCCAGGCCCCATTCCTGAGGATCTCCCTCTGTCAGGCTCCACCAACCAGCTGGATCCCAGCTCTTTCAGCCTCAGGTGGCCAAGTTCCTACAGAGCCCAAGCTCAGGACTTGAAAACCTGCTCATCTCCACCATGTTTGTGTCCCCACAGAAGCCCTCTGTAAGCCCAGTCCCTGTTGCTCCTTACCCCAGCAGAGGCAGCCACCTTGGGAGGGTGCTCCTGAGTTTTTCCCCTCCTGATAATACTCTTGTGTGAGGTTTGTCGTGTGGTGTGATTTCTGTGGTATTTCTTGGCTCCCTGCTTGCTGGGATACCTTTCCCTTCAGAGCTGTAACACACCTTGTACATGCTATAAAAACACTCTGCTGTCCAGCTACATCCCCAGCCCTCGTTTATTATTTTGACCAAAAAGCATAGTCTGTATTGATCTTGCTTACTGTGCTATGATTTTGAAACATGTATGAATTGCAAAGAATGTTTCCTTCTAAGTTGATGTGTGAGCCAGGCCTGGTGGTACAAGCAAAGTCAAGGCCTGCATGAGCTATGTAGTATGAAGCCATTTTGGAAAACTTTATGAGAGAGACCATATTTCTAAAATACAAAAGACCTGGCAAGATCAGGAAATAAAGATGCTTGCTGCCAACCTTGATGACCTGAGTTTGGACTCTGGATCCCACATGGTGGAAGGAAAGAGCCAACTCTTCCAAGTTCTTCTCTGACCTCTGTAAATGCATTGTAGTTCAAGAGTGTACCCTCCTCAAAAATACATGCCGAATACATGAATAAAGATAATAACAAGATGGATAGGGATGTAATTGAGTAGTAGCGTGCTTGCCTAGCATATGAGAGGCCCCAGGACCATTTCACAAAAGGAAAGGGCACTGTTCACCCCATCCCCACCGCATTGCTACTTCAGGCCTCTAGTGAAGCATGGCATTTATTTGTACTAACATTGATTTTAAAAGTAAGAATTACTAATTACGAAGAGAAAAGGAATTTGTCTCTTTCTCCCTTTTTTTTATCACTTGTATTTTTTTAAACAATATTTTATATTTTGAAATTATAAATATTTTATGAAACATTATTACTGTGTTTTTCTGGGCTTTCATTGTTATCCATGCTTGTTTTAAATCCTAGACTCAACTCATATCAACCTCCTAAGCACTTGCAATCACAGGGGTGTGTCATTGAATGCAACTTTTAAAGCAACTTAATCACTATTTGGTGACATAAAACCTTCATATATCTTCATTCATGATAAAAATGGAGAGGTTATTGTAAACTATAGCCATAGTCTTAAAGAATGATAATCACGGGCTGGAGAGATGGCTCAGTGGTTAAGAGCATTGCCTGCTCTTTCAAAGGTCCTGAGTTCAATTCCTGGCAACCACATGGTGACTCACAACCATCTGTAATGAGGTCTGGTTCCCTCTTCTGGCCTGCAGACATACACACAGACAGACTATTGTATACATAATAAATAAATATTTAAAAAAAGAATGATAATCACAAGTGGAGGTGAAATGACCTTGGTTACAACTGCAATAGAGCTTTTCTGTCCCCTTACTTTTGTGAGCGAGTAAAGTGGGCTTGGGCAAGGCTAGGACCTTGCACATACTAATAAGCAGGTGGTTTCCTAGTGGAGCTAGACCTTTGGTCCCTATATTACCTCTTTTTCCTCTATATTGTCTTACAAATGCTAAAAAGTTAATTTTCTTTGCTTAAATGTGTCATGGCTTGAGGATCATTGGTGTCCTTGGCTTTTGTTTGCAGTGCTCAGTTTGCTGGGCTGCTTTGTGAAGAAGAAGGAAATGGTGCAGACAACGTCCAGTACTGTGGCTATTGTAAATACCACTTTAGTAAGCTGGTAAGAGCAGTTTTAAATTTAGTATTAAATAGCAGTTGATTTTGACAAGATGGTGACACCATCTTACAAAGGGCATAAAATAAGAGCATAGTTACAGTTCTTCCTTGACTTTTGCTAAAAATTAAATACATTTAGTACGTTCTGTATTGAAAATGGAAAAAACTAGTAATTGTAAAATATTTTGCTTCACTAGGATATTCTAGATTAGAGTATGCTAGTAACTGATAGCAAATATCATTTAGTGGAGAAATTTACTTTTAGAGAACTCTTTAATGTTTTTCCTGTTTGTAATAACTTTGAATTTTTTTGTATTTTGTCTCATCTTCCTGTTGCATCTCTGTTACCCATCTTACTTGTTATATCTGTAACTTGTTTTTATTTTCTAGGAAATAATAAAGACAGAAATTAGGCTGTTTGTAATTTGACTAAAGACTCTGATAAAATGTATTTAGACTCATCTTGGAAGGTTTTGAGATTTAGTCAGACTTTGTGATTAAACAGTTACATGGATGATTGAATTAGAAACCTTTTGAAGCATTTAATTTTCAAAGTTTTTAAATTTTATGTGTATGAGTGTTTTACTTGCACGTGTATATATGCACCACAAAGTGCTTGGTGCTCACAGAGGTCAGAAGAGGGTGTCAGATCTTCTGGAATTGGAGTTATGGATGGTTATGGACTCTCACGTGGGTGCTGGGAACTGAACTTTGACCCTCAGAAAGAGCAACAAGTGTTCTGAACTGCTGAGCCATGTCCGTAGCCCATAGTTAGAAACTTGGTTTTTATGTACTTGAAAAATACGTATTTTTAATGCTCCTAAGTACCTCTTTCAGTTCTTAAATATGTAGATTAATATGCTTAACATTTTTCTTTGTCTTATTTTTAATTGCCATTACCTGCTAAATACGTCTTACTTGCCCTCCTTCGTCTTATAAATGATATTAACCATCCTTCAGGCCTCTACTGATGAAATCACCTAATACAGCAAGTTGTTATGGTGTTCCTCATTAAATGATATATGACTATTGCCTAAAGTGTATGTCTGTGTTGCTCATTGCTAAAGATGGATTTATCTTAATGGGGTGGTAAAAATGAACTGTTTATAAGAAGTTTAGACATTATAAAAGTGAAGTTTGAAGCTGGGTGTGGTGTCATGTTTGTAGCCCCACCCACCCAGCACTTGGGAGGTGGTAGAATAAATAGTTGAAAGTCATCTTCCAGCTATTTGTTGTTGAGGGCCAACCTTGGCTACGAGACCTTATCTCAAACAAATAGCTGAAATAATTTTGACATTTTTTACAAATAGAGTTTTTCTCACTACTAATTATTGATGTGATATTATTTGCTAGTTGTGAAAATCCATCTGGTTAAAGTAAAACTTTTTTAGAACTTGAAGTTATTTTGTAGTCACTGTAAAAATCAGTTTAAAACTAATCAGTTACAGTGTGAGCATCTTGCAAGCACCCAAACTATTCTTACCTTTACACTCTATTATGCAGTGCTGTATTTTAAGCAGAACTATGTAATGTTTTTAGTGATACATAGGTCTAATATTGACGTTTGTCCTAATTTGTTCTAAATGACCTGCAGAGCCAAGGCTTTAGAAAACTGTTTTTCTCAGTATTTATTGAAAGTAAATGTTTCTTGCTTTACTACTGGCAATAAAGTAGCTCTTTTGCATATTTACTTTTTCTGTTCTTCCAGTCTTGCCATTTATTTTTCCCCTGTCTCCCAAGTGCTGGGATTTCAGCTATGTACTATTACCCCAATGGCATTCTTGGGGTAAATAGCTTTTGGTTAGACCTCTCCCCTCACCTCCCCTCCCTCCCCTCTTTTTTCTCTCTCTCTTTGAAAATATAGTAGCTTATTTGAAATAGGTATGTTTTCAAAATTTTTTGTGGGGGATGGAGCAGGATCTCTATATGTAGCCTTGGATGGCGACTCTCTATGTAGGCCGTGCTAACCTTGAACTCACAGAGCTGTCTGCTTCTGCTTCCCAGATGCTGGGATTAAAGATGTATGCCTCTGTGCCTGGCTTGTTTTCACACATCTTAACAAATATACAAAAATATGGCATTGATGTTAAAATTAGGTTTATTAGATTTTTCTTTGTAATGCAAGTGGATTGTGTTTAAACTCTATTATAAATTGAAATACTGATTTTTTTAAAAAAATTCTTTTGACATTTAAACATTTCACATTGAAAATAGTTTAAGCCTAATTAAAAAGTGGATTTTTTATATACATATACATATATGTATATATTTTCTTTTTTAGAAAAAGAGCAAACGGGGATCTAATAGGTCATATGACCAAAGTTTAAGTGATTCTTCCTCTCACTCTCAGGATAAACATCATGAGAAAGAGAAAAAAGTAAGTGGATTTGTTGTTGCTAATTATGTAGCACATCACTTAATAAAATTAAAAGAATCTTTTTAGGTAAAATTGTTTTTTTACAGCTAAATGGAAACATTGAAATTCAGAAAAATTTATTGATTTATTAAATCAAGACTAGGTTTAAAATAATGCCATATTTGTAAATATGATTTTTGACTATTGTAACTGAAAGTTTAAATAGACCTTGATTGACAGCATGAGAGTGATTTCTTGCATGTGTTAACAGGTCATCTTACAAAATCTGAGGTGACTTGGGCAATGATAGTTTGTTGCTATGTATCACTAACTGATTATGTCACATGTAAGTAATTTTCCCATCAGCTTTTTGCTTTTACAATAGAACAACTTTGAATTCTAAATATTCTTGGCTGTTTTATATTTTTCTGTGATGCTAATGTTTTATTTTTCCTAGCGGCCAAATGTTACATCATTTGTTTGTGAATATTTTGCCTTTTTAATCAAAATACTAAATCTTTCTTAAATACTAATCTTTGTTCTGATTTACCTGTTTTCTTCTTACATTTTTACCTGCTTTTACTTTAAAGGCTGATTAATTTTTAATTAATTAAAAGCAAATAGTATAGAATTATTCATACTTGATTTGTGATTCTTTTAAGAATATATGGCAGTATAATAAAGGGATAATCCCTCTTAATTATCTTAATGGAAATGAGATAAAAGAGGGTATCTTAAATGGAGAAAGAATGCTCTTGCAGAGTTGATATGAATTAGTTTTGAAAGTATATTAGGTTGTATTTAGAGTTTGAAAATAAGGCCACATAATACTTTATGTCTATAAGTACTTAGGACTTGGGAAATGGTAATGTATAGGTTTTTTTCTAAGCATGTGTTGACTTTCAGTTTATGTTTGTACTTTTTTAAGTTAAATATTAAAAAGAATTCAAATATTTGGTTTTGAGATTGCTCTTCTATTGTGAGCAAAATAATAAGTGCAATTTGTTTAGCATAGTTAGCGTTTATATATAAATATTGGAGGTCTGTGGTAGCCAGTAACTGAATGTGTTTATCTTATGAAGTTGTTTTGTGATAAAGTGATAGGATTATGTTTATTGCTTGGATTGTTGATTTAAAAAATGACAGATTGGTTTAATTAGGGTTTTAATGAGTGATACCGTGATTGTATATAGACTTTTGAAACCACAAACTGAAGTTTCTGTAGGTAGGCCTTATTAGAGTGTGAAAAGGGAATTGTCACTGTTAGTGATCTTTAGTTGTGGTGTTTGGTGAGCACTGTTTGTTTTAGAAATGACCATTGCATGATCATACTGATTTGAATGTACACTCTCATATTATTGAAGGACTAATGTAATACAGTGTTGAATAAGTACAGTTCTGTGATTGTGCTTGTCATTTATCTCCCCCAAATGAATGTGATTTTGTATTTTACTAAATCTTTATGAATTGTTGTGGAATTCTAGATTTAAAAAATTGTATTTAGTTAAATTTGTTAGCCCCAGGTTTTAGAGTTGTAAATAATGTTTGAATTCTACTTTTCGCATATATTAAAGGTATAACTGAAGTTTTTTTGTCTTCAAACCTATAATCTGTTTATTTTATTTTTCTCTCTCTGGTGCTGGCAGTTGAACCCAAGGCCTCTGGTGTACAAAATAATCACTTTTAATACTGAGCTACATCCCCAGTCTATATTTCTGTGTTTTTTTAATTAGCTCAGGTTTATTAATGTATTACACATAGTTAAATCTGTTGTAAGCTACTAGCTTACCTTAGTGTAGGACTTTTAAATATGGTATGACATTAAGTAATAACATAGATGAATTGATGAGAGTAACCGATTTAGTAGTTTGCTGTCACCTTGTCTGTCTGGCATTCATTAGAGGAAGGGACTCATGCAAGACTTTAAACCCTTGTGTTCAAGTTGTTATCTTGTCTCATTCTCCTTAGTAGTTAGAATCACAGACCTGCATCACACTGTACCTGGCTATTTTCTTTTTTAAATGTTTATGTCTAGACTTGGCATGGTGATACACACCTGTGATTCCAGTATGCAGAGAGTAAATTAGGAAGTTTAGTAATTCTGGGCCAGATTGGGCTACTGACAGTAACCACAGACAAATATTAGGAAAAAAATGGTGTCTGCATTAGACATTTACAGACGTTATTGTATTAGCCATTACAGATAATCTTGAAATCAGTATGTCGAAGGATATCTGTAGATTATATGTAAGCAATACAACATTGTATATATGTAAGAGACTTGAGTATTGCCAGGCGGTGGTGGCACACGCCTCTAATCCCAGCATTCAGGAGGCAGAGGCAGGTGGATCTTTGGAAGTTTGAGGCTAGCCTGGTCTACAGTGTGAGTTCCAGGACAGCCAGAACTGTTTCATAGAGAAACCCTATCTTAAAAAACCAGAGAGCATGCGAGAGATTGATTTGGGTATCCATGAATGTGTGTGTCAGACACAGGAATGTGTCCTGGAAACACTCCATGCTCACCTCCCCAGGAATGTTAATCAGATGACTCACTTCATTGAAATGTATCATTCACAATCTGTTTATACTTGGGTATTTTATTTATTTTCCTGATTATTGAGACAATACTAGTCTTGAATTTCTGATCCTGCCTCTACCTCCCAAATTCTATAAATGTAGGCATGTGACACTTGTACCAAGCAGACATTGGCAGATTTTGGTACTGTTGATTTTCAAGACAGGATTTTTTTGTGGTGACCTGGTTGTCTTGGAACGCACGCTGTATACCAGGCTGGCCTTGAACTCTGTGATCAGCTTTCTCCTGCACCCCAAGTGCTAGAATAAAAGCATGCACCACCACTGCTAACCGTAATGCTGTTCTTAAATGTTAAATGAACTACCTTTGTTTATCTCTGTTATGGAACATACTTTCTTTGTATATTGCGGAATGTTTTCTTGTTAAATTAAAAATATGTTGCTTATACATTGCATTTAATGCTAAATATTTTGTCATCTACATTATTTAAATTTGAAAGGTAGCAGTATAAGTCAGTGCTAGCTGTATGCTTGATCCCTAATACCAAAATTTGATTTTAAAGACAGAGTTTCTCTCTGTGTAATCCTGGCTGTTCTGGAACCCACTCTCTATACCTTCAGTTCAGAGAACCGCCTACCTCTGCCTCCCAAGTGCTGGGATTAAAGGCATGCACCACCATGCCTGTCAAAAGTTTATAACATTTAAAAATGAATTTATTTATTCATTCATTTATTTTTATGGATGGTGTCTCACTGTAGTTCAGCTGGCTTCAAAATTATAGTTCCCCTGCTTTAGCCTTCCACAAACTGGAACTATAGACTTGCTTTTTACCATGCGTGGCTATATTTTTGTTAACACATACTACTTTTACAGATGGGTTACATTATGCTTTTTTTTATACATGTATATAATGCATTTTGATCATAATTACTCTTCAGTATCCTTTCTTGTCTCTCTCCCTTTGATCTTCTTCCTTTTACCAATTAGTCTTCTACTTTTTCTACTTTTGGTTTTGTTTTGTTTTATTTTGTTTTTTGCATTGCATGATGGGGAGGATGACCCAATGAGTTTGGGATTGATTATAGTAGTATAGATGGGGATTATTTGTAGGGTCATAAGCTACTCATGAATATGCACAACTGAAGAAAATGTCTCTCCCCTCCAGCATCAATTAACTACCTAGAGATCCTCTGGTAGGGGTGGGGCTATATTTTAAAAACATCTGGAGGAACATTTAAGTGATTGGAGAGATGGTTTAAGAACACTGGTTGCTCTTCCAGAGAATCCAGGTTTGATTTTCTGTTCTTAAATGTTGGTTCACAGCTGTCTGTAATTCTAATTCCAGGAGATCTGATTCCCTCTTCTGGCCTTGGAGGACACCAGACACACATGTGATGCACAAACATACATGCAGGCAAAAAGTATAGAAATAAGTAAATATAATAAAAATTTTAAAATGAAAATGTAAATATTTTTCTTTTCAGGGAACTTGTGTGAGACCAAAGCTTCGTTACAGTGGGTTAAGAGACCCAGGTGTTGTGGCACATGCCTTTAATCATAGGGAGACAGAGGCATACAGACCTGCCTGGTCTACATAGTGAATTTCAGGCCAGCCAGAGATACAGTTTATGGCCCTTTCTTAAAAAGATCGATTAGAGATGCCTCAGTGGGTAAAGTGCTATATAAGCATAAGGACCTAAGCACCTATGTGTAAACCAGGTGTAATGATGTTTACCTAAAACCCCAGTGTATGGTGGAGGAGGAAGAAACAGATCAGTGGATCCTTGGGACTCAATGGTCAGCTAGCTTAGTTGAAATAATTGAGCTCCAGGTAAGTAATAACAGTGCAAGGCAGGAAAAAAGCTCATAATGAGATAGGACTTTGGATAAAAGACAATTTCTATAAATTGTGATGACACATTTTTAAAGGAACCAAAGGACATGCTAAGTTAATTACAGTGCATGTGCGGTTTTAATTTAGCTGCTAATGATTTGAATAGTGAATTAATAAAAGTTATTAAATAGTTATAAAATAAAATTTTGCTTTCTAAAGTAATCAAGTGATATTTAAAATGAAAAGTAGACTTGACTATAGTTGAAATCGATAGGAATAGAAGTATTATTTGTCTTTGGAATCATCTGTGTATTTAACAAACCTTTCATTTAAAAAGAGTCTCTGGTCATATCTATTAGAAAGGTTTACTAGAACCAACTTTAAGGCTAGGGATGTGTCTTAGCAAGAGTACTGTCATAGAAGACCTGGGTTTGGTTCTCAACACCCACCCCATGCATGGTTTATAATTGTAATTCCAGTTTCAGTGGATCCAATGCAACTTTCTGCTTCTGTGGGTACTAGACATGTTCCTGCCATGCATGTAGGTAAGGCATGTGTACACATGAAATAAGGTTTATTTTTAAAGTTGTATTTAGTTATTTTTGCATCCAACCTTTCTTTTGCCTTACTCCAGTTCGTAGGCATTTATTT